TCTATGATTTAGATGGTTAATGCATTTAAATTATATGGTGAAAAGATTTAGGAGTGTTTTATGATGTTGAATTAGAAAATTGAAGCTTGGTAGCTCGATGACCATGTCGACCTAAAGTAAAGATTTAGGTTGATTGTTGTAATTTACCTAATTGATGTATAAATGATGAATAAAGGATTGATTAAGGGATTAGGTGTGAAAATTTGAGGTAAAATGATCAAATGGAAGCTAGCCTTCCGTTAGGTTACATTCGGCCTTAGTGAAAGAATGTGTGGAAAAAGGGGTAACTTGACATTAAATGACGTTTTTAAGGTTTATAAGGTTGAAATGACATGAAAAAATGGTTAACTATATGTTAAAAATAATTTGGTTGAATTGCTTGCATAATTTTGGCATAATGAGCTTTAAGGAATTGTTGATGTTTATAGATGCTTCATTGTTTTTATGTCTCTTTCTTAATTTAGAATATGTAAATGATTGTTTGTTTATGTTACATATTCCTTGTATGTTGATTGTGCATGCTTTAGTTTAACTAGTACATGTTATATTTGAAATGTTATTTACATGTGCTTGATATGTTAAGCATGCTTGATAGAGAAAAAGGTAAAGGAATGCATTTCATTCAAATGCATTTGCATATCATGACTATGAAAAAGGATTTTACTTCATGGTTTTGAGGAAAAGAAAAAGAAAAAAGACATGTTTTCAAAAGGAAATGGCTAGGCACCTTCAAGAGGAGAAAGAAAAGGAAAAGGAAATGACATTATTATGCTTGGGTAAGTGATTAATCTCTTGTGAAGAAAAGAAAAAGAAAAAGGAAAATGATTCTTTTTGAAAGGGAAGAATAAAAAATGCCATTTATATTATTCTTTTCGAAAGGAAAGAATGAGAAAAATGAAAGGTGTCTAGTGATTTTTGTGAGTTTTTCACAATTTACATATTTTAAAAGAGGCCTAATTTTATACACACTTGACGGGATGCGTTCGAAGAGGAAAATGAATTTCAAAATTCATGAAAATAGTTTTTAAATGCATCACATGCATAATGGGCACTACATGAATTATATGGATTACACTTACCGAGTAACACTCACCTTTGTTTCTTATGGTATAAGCGAAAAGAAAGATAAATGAGGAACGTCGCCAAGAAGCTTCATCAACTTATCATTTGTGTACTTTGTGTTGTTAAATCGGTGAGGAAACTTACCTTTGCTTAACTTAATTTTTAGACATGTATATTAATGTTAGGTTAAGACATGTATATTAATGTTAGGTTAAGCTTATTTTGGTTTGTAATAATGAATAAAAAGGTTTGAATGTTAGATTGTATGATTATGATAAGTATTGTCAAATTAGGTAACTTGACAAATTAATCAATTACTTAATTAATTGGAATAGTATGAATGAGTTAATAAACTAAGGAAAGGAATTAATTAGAGGTTAAATAGAGATATTAAATAGATGGTTGCTTAGTATGGTAGCTAAAGACTTAGTGGTAAAAATTACGGAATTGAAATGGTATGGCAAAAAGGATTAGTAAGGTTAATTTAGTGATTAATGAATAGATGAATTAAATTGACTAGTTTAATTAAATTTGAAACCAAAGTTCCATAAGTTTAAAAATTGTTTTGATTGATCAAAAATCTAATTAAAAGTCTAAATAAATTTATTAAATGCTTAATTGAATTAATTAAATGAATTTCTAGTCTATGGAATTTTTCTCAAAATAATGGCATTGAACAAAAATTTAAGGGTTTAATATGCACTCGATTTATTTTGAGTTAAATCAAATATGTTGTAAATAAATTATTTTTGAAATGAAAATAATGTAAAATAATCCAACTTTAAGTTGTGAAATATTTGAAAATTGAATTTTTCTATTTTAAATTAAATATGAATTTTTAAAAGGAATTTAAGAAAAATATAAGGCATATCACTATTCATTATAATATTAGCTAGTTTAATACAATGATTAAATTTGAATCCAAGAACATGAATTTTTGTACCAAATTATAACATTTAATTTTTCTACACATGATGTAAGAATTTCAATTAGTGTTAGAGGAATTTTTGAAAAATTGTATATGTGAGTTTTCTTTAATTTGGACCTATTATTTCCTTAATTATTAGGGGTCCTTGCCGAGTACCCACCTTTTGTTAGTAATTTAGAAATGTTAAGGAGTGAGGTTTGTTAGCTTACATTCATTGTTTTTCAAATTTAAGTCAACTTCAATAATACTCTCGACCTATTTAGATCTTAGGATGAGAGTATTACATGCACACACATGTGTTATATATATATATATATATATATATATAACTCATAAAGATTTGCTTATACCACACTCCTATTTTATTTTAGGGTATAAAATTTAGAAATGTAGCAATTTCCCTCCTCGAAGTGCCAATAGTGTTAGGAAGTGTTTATCTTTTTCTTTCGAGAATAGGACTTATTTATTACAAATTTACAATTATTGTAAAAAAGGATTAAAATTTTCAAATATTAAATAATTTTAAAGTAAATTTTCAATTGAATTGAAGTTTCTCTTTAAATCTACCATTTCTGTTAATCTAAAAAACATTTAAGGGGTTCATTGCATTTCAATAGAACATTAATTTAACTTTTTATGATTTTAATTAGTACATTTAATTCATTTTGATTTTATGGAGAATATATATATATATATATATATATATATATAAGTATTTATATTGTAAGTTCTTAACCCTTTTTACATCATTAACACTTAACCCCCATCATTATTTTACGTCCAACATTTAATATATATATATATATAATTGAATTAAATATACATGATAATTAAAGATTTGTTTTATCGTTACGTAATTGGTAAGAAAACAATTAATCAATATGAGCTGTATTAATTGATTTGTTATCACCATATTTATCACTGCTAATTGCACACAACGGAATCAAAATTTTTTAATTACAAAAATAAATTTTGATATCTAAAATTTATTGCCTGTACATATATAGAAACAGATGCAATTAGCAGTGATAAATATGTTGATAAGAAATCAATTAATACAGCTCATATTGATTGTTTTCTTGCCAATTATCTACAATTTTTTGCCTGTACATATATAGCAACAGATGCAATTAGCAGTGATAAATATGGTGATAACAAATCAATTAATACAGCTCATATTGATTGTGTTTCTTACCAATTATGTAACGATAAAACAAATCTTTAATTATCATGTGTATTTAATTCAATTTTATATATATATATATATATATATTCCTTTGGTTATAGAAATGAGGTGACAAAGACCATTTTTAGTGATTGAGGTAGTAACAATATTAAAATTGGCAGTGCATTTATTGGTGCAAATACATTGAATTTTTTGTATCAACTAATTTAAAGAATGATAACACAATTTTTGGAGATTTAATCTGATTGATAATTGAAATTAATTTATTATTAATGTATCAGTTTAAATATATACACTTTTTTAAGGTAATTTATTATTCTAAAAATTTTGTTTAGATTTTTTTCCATTTTGTATTAATTATTAATTATTTTCACTTAAAAAAATTGATCTTAAATGAAAATTATATTTTTACTTTTAAGTTAACATGTGTCGCCACTTAATTGGTTACACATTAGTCAACTAACAAAAATAAGTCAATTTGATGAAACAAGTAAATGGAGAAGTTGTTTTGCACCAACGTCTAATATCATAAAGTTTGTTATGAACTATATTTAGATAAAAAGAATGTAATAATATTTTCGATATAATATAAAGCTACACAATGTATTTAATCTATTAAAAAAATCATGTATGGATTTAATATAATATAGTACTTTGGTTAATTCAATATCCTAGCAGGAATTTGGGATAATTTAGTGCTTTGGTTATTTCAATATCCTTGCAGAATTTGGGATAATTTAGCTATCTCTCTTTTTTTATTTATCCAATGAAATTAGGTTAGCTTTAGAAGGTTGATCCATGTGGTGAACAAAAGAATAATCATCTCTCTTTTTTTATTTATCCAATGAAATTAGGTTAGCTTTGGAAGGTTGATCTTTGTTGGTGACATAAAATATTTATATTTTATTGACACTGTACATGAACATGAGGAATTTTGTATTATTCATAAAGTAAGTTTTATATATATATATATATATATATATATATAGAGAGAGAGAGAGAGAGAGAGAGATAGATGAAGCTAAGTGGAAATATTTTTATCACTTTTCATATATTCAAATATAATTTTTTTTATATTTATTTATTTTCTTAAAACTGAATATATGAAATAACTATCGTAAATATACGAGTAGCAGTTATTTTTAAGTATTCTAAAATTTTTTCATGAATATAAATATACTTTCGAGTTTTGTTTTTAACATAAATATGAAAATTCCTTCAAAAAGTAATACATAATCACAATCACTATGTTCCTTATCATTTATGTGTTTGACTTATCTATATATTTACACACATTTTTTTTATTATTAAAAAAAGTATGTTTTGTTGGATTTAAGTATGAAAAAGGCTAATTGTTTTAATAAAAGAATTCATGTCATTATTCACATAGAAAAAAAATCAAATGACCTAAAAAGAAAAACCCCAACTAGTTGGAGAAATTATTAGTCAGAATTTAAAATAAAAAGCCATTCAAATCATTTATAGCGTAGGGTAATAAAAAAGAAAGAAAAATTGGTCATTGAGTGGGGGCACTGTGGTGAAAAGAAAGAGTCTCTGGAAAAGGAAGTGCTGGGAAGACTTTTGGACAAGAAAGGAAATAATGTAAATTGAATGGATTGACTGTGTAAGAGAAGAAGAATAATAATAAAATTCTCAAGGAGCCAAAAGGCGTTATAAATATACTAATGGGAGACGAAGGTTTGCTGAAGAGGAGGCGAGGAAGGCGCAATATATGTCATAATAGCATTAATAGCAAGAAAAGAAAAATCCTCTCGCTCTCTCTTTCTCTCTCTCGTGCACTAAGTACTATTGTAGCAGCAAAGAATGGACACTCTGCGTCGTAACAGAGGTGTCTTTAGGGTTTCAGTATGTGGGCAAGAGGAGTTAGAGCAGCTCTCAAGAGATGGTAGCCATTACAGTCTCTCAACAGGGATTTTGCCTTCACTCGGTGCAAGAAGTAACCGAAGAGTTAAGCTCAATAGGTTCATTATCTCGCCTTATGACCGTCGTTTCAGGTGATGATTATACACATATTTGCTCTGCTTTTCTTTCACGGTTTCAAGATTTCGATGAATTTCTTCTTCTTCTCCTTTCTTCTTTTTTCTTATATATTAATATATTAATGCCGTTTGGTTGGTTGACTTTACTTCTAGTACAATTATTGGTGGTGTTTATTTTGATTTATTCGAGGTAATATGGGAACCAACGCCATTGAACAATCTCGTGACCCTTTGTCAATGGCTACTAGGGAGGGGCAGTATAATTAAAGTTTTATTTGCCTTTTTAGAAAAAGAAGTTTTCTTTTCTTTTCTCTTCCTAGGCCTTTTTGGGATTTTAAAGTTCTTTCTTGTCGTTCTATTTCTAATCTTTCTTGCTCATACCTTATTGATTCTCTCTTTTTTTTTTTTTTTTCTTTCTGTTGGTATTTGGAAAAAGTACCGTGTGGCTGTTTTAAAAGAATATACATGTATCGATTTGTTCTGTTTTGCTTTTTTAGAATCTCAAGTGCAATCTGGTAAATATCTTGAGTTTTGGGGCTTTTTAGGGATGGTATTTTGTTGGATCCCTCATGCTTAGAATCCTGGCGACTGAATATCTTTCATGCCTCTTTTTTGTTTCCTGGTTGGTTCTGTATGGAAATAAAATATCATTATAATTCTTATTTTGGTAATATTTGTGACTCAGTGTTTGCAATGCTGGATTTGTATTCTAAAAGCGAAAGATCCTATTAACTAACCTTCATTTTTTTTTCCATTACTTAGGATTCTTTTGTGGAATTGTCATTTAGCCAGACAAAATTAAAGTTGTTCCTTATTGGTGGTATAGTAAACGGCCATTCTTCATGGTTTTACAGTCACTTGCTGCTTTACCCACTTTAAAATTACTTTTACTTCTACTTTTTCTTTTCTACAAGCTAATTTAAATGTGTTCAACCTTGCAAAAGTGAAATTTGAAACTTTTGATAAATTTTGAACAACTCTGCTGAATAAATTTTAGTTTGTTACTTGCCTTTTCTGTTTGTTCAAAATTGAGGTGAATTTTGTATATTATGGCGCAAAATGATTGATCCATATAGCCCACAAGCTAGTTTGGGACTGAGGCTTGCTTGCTGTTGCTGTTGTTGTACAATGCAGTAGCGTGTGTGTGTGTATATATATGTTGAGAACTTTGAAAGACAACTCATTTGATTGCTAAACAATCAGACTAATCTTGCAGAATATGGCAGACATTTCTAGTTGTTCTGGTCATCTATACAGCTTGGGTATCACCTTTCGAATTTGGATTTCTCAAAAAACCAGAGAGACCACTCGCCATCTGTGACAATGTTGTCAATGCATTCTTTGCTACGGATATTGTTCTAACCTTCTTTGTGGCTTACCTTGATAAAACATCCTACCTACTTGTTGATGATCGCAAGAAGATTGCTTGGAAGTATTCCACTTCCTGGTTGACTTTGGATGTCATATCCACAATCCCAGCTGAACTAGCTCGGAAGATCTCCCCTAAATTATTCCGGTCCTATGGCGTATTCAACATGCTTCGCCTTTGGCGTCTCCGACGAGTTAGTGCCCTATTTTCTAGGTAAATAGTTTTTTCTCGGCTAGCTAGCTTTTTAACTTCAAACAGAATTCATATTTTTTGGCTTTGGGTATTTTCATTCAGCTCATCAAGGAAACGTTGTCTGGTTTGTTTTGATGGCTCCCTTAAATATTTCCTGTGAACAGATTGGAGAAAGATAGGAACTACAACTATTTCTGGGTTCGATGTGCTAAACTAATATGTGTAAGTGTTCAAGTTAAGAATGAGATTGATATGAATGAAAATGTATTCTTTCTAGAAATGCTATGATTTATCAGGATCTTTATGCTTCCCATAGGTCACACTTTTTGCAGTACACTCTGCTGGATGCTTCTATTATCTTATTGCTGCAAGCTATCATGATCCACAAAGGACATGGATTGGATCAGCTCTAGGAGACAATTTCTTAAAGCAGAGTATCTGGAGAAGATACGTGACTTCCATTTACTGGTCTATCACTACTCTAACTACTGTGGGCTATGGCGATTTGCATCCTGTGAACACAAGGGAGATGATGTTTGACATCTTCTACATGCTCTTCAACCTTGGATTGACGGCATACTTGATTGGAAACATGACGAACTTGGTTGTGCATGGAACTAGTCGAACTAGAAGATTTGTGAGTATAGTCATTGATATAGTTCAGTAGTCTAGTGGATTCACATATAAAAAATCTGACTTTTGATTATTTATAATCGCGACCTTCCTTGTAAATTCGAACTCCCAGAGAGATACCATACAAGCTGCTTCAAGTTTTGCTCAGAGGAACCAGCTTCCTGTTCGCCTACAAGATCAGATGCTTGCACATTTGTGCTTGAAGTTCAGGACAGATTCAGAGGGACTGCAGCAGCAAGAAACGCTTGATTCCCTTCCAAAAGCCATCCGTTCAAGCATTTCACATTATCTTTTCTACTCTCTTGTGGACAAGGTCTACTTGTTTCGAGGGGTTTCCAATGACTTGCTTTTCCAGTTGGTTAGTCACTAAAAGGATCCATAACCTTTTATTCTTGATTGTTTCTCTATTTGACTTTTGTGCTTCTTTATTATATATTTATGTAGGATTTTTGTTTCTGTCATTGAATTTCAAAGGTCTCAGAGATGAAAGCTGAGTATTTTCCTCCCAAAGAAGACGTGATCTTGCAGAATGAAGCACCAACAGACTTTTATATACTTGTTACTGGTGCTGTGGTAAAAATGAACACTTTTGCTTGTATTCAATTGTTCCATATTTACTATTTGTGATTTCAGAGTTAAAATATTTTCCAATTAAAACAGGATTTCCATGTAGTCAAATTTGCTACATATGGCCTTCAATAATCGAGTTTTTTTTTTTTTTTTTTCTTTTTTTTTTGTGCAGGATCTACTTGTTATGAAAAATGGAGTCGAACAGGCAAGTCTTATCCCTATCAATGCTTAGAATGGCGTATAAATTTAAACAAAATGCTAATGACATGAAGTTTATAGTTATACAGTTCAATGATCACTGAAATCATGTTGGATGAATGCAGGTTGTTGGCGGGGCAAAAACTGGTGATCTTTGTGGTGAAATTGGAGTACTTTGTTATAGGCCACAGCTCTTCACAGTGCGAACCAAAAGATTGAGCCAATTACTACGACTGAACCGTACTGCATTCTTGAATATTGTTCAGGCCAACATTGGAGATGGGACCATAATCATGAATAATCTCCTTCAGGTCTGCAAACTCAAGTTCAACCTGGTGACAGTATATAAATACATAGAACATAAATCCTCTTACCCATAAATTATAAAATTTTATCACAATTGCAGTACAGGCTTTCAAGAAAATCAAAATCTTCGGCAGATGTTGAATATAAAAGCTGTAATAATCTTTTACATCAAGCATAATTGGTTTGCTTTCTATTATTGGTGGAGCAGTACTTGAAAGAACTAAAAGACCCAATTATGGAGGGAGTATTGCTGGAGACAGAGAACATGCTGGCTCGTGGTAGAATGGACCTACCTCTAAGTCTATGCTTTGCAGCACTAAGGGGAGATGATCTGTTGTTGCATCAGTTGTTGAAACGAGGCCTGGATCCAAATGAATCAGACAACAATGGGAGGTCAGCAATGGTATGTAAAGTTTAACTTTGCTTCTTTTCAAATATACAAATTATTCTGGATAATGATGCTATTGCTTTTAATTTATGCACATATTAGCATATAGCAGCGTCCAAAGGAAGTGAGAACTGTGTGCTACTTCTACTGGATTATGGAGCAGATCCGAACTGCCGAGGTATCTTCTATTCTATTGCCATTTACATGATTGGGGCGAATTTAGCTGGAATCATTTTCCACACCATTATATTTTTTCAGACTATTTTTTATCGATCTATAACAGCAAACAGTGGAGTTATTTTATGTATAGTTTATGACACCATGTCTGTTTATAGTAGTTTTGTTGACTCGCAACCATGCATGAACGTGCACACTCCCACGCCTGACAAGTTATATATGAAGTTGGAATCGGTGAAATAGCAATAGGTTGACCTTTAAATACTCTTATCCATAACAGCTTGTTGATACCCTTTCTGTGCACATTATAATTGGAGGCATGCTTGCCAGTCCCCTGTCATGACTGTTAATAGATTATTAATTCATTTTCAGATTAAAGCCCAAATTTGGCTCTGCGCATGATGTAGTAATTCCAGTTCTTTCTTAATTTGGCAGTCCCAATAATGCAGATGTCTCATTCTTCCATAGTTTAAATTAATTATACAAGACACTTGTCAGCCTGCAAGTAGTAGATAAAATATATTGTATCTTAATAAGTCAAAGCAAATATATATACCTTATCCAGACTGGTTCATTCTTCTTTCAAGAGGGAAAAAAAAATAAATAAATAGTGGTTCATACTTGTTGACTTTTGTTATAATATTGTTCAGTTATATTCTTGCCAAATGAGGTCACCTCATTTGACTTGGATCGACCACCATGTAATTAAGATGCAACTATGCAATTTTCTAGGCGTGGCCTCTTTATAGTCAAGTGTTGTTGGAGTTACACAGTTGACGACAGAAGCTTGCATTTTGAAACTAGCACATAATTTGTTTAATATTTGAACATAACTCCTAAAAAGTTGTCTTGGCTGCCAGAACGCATCGTGCTTGATTATTTTCTGCTTATGAGTTTGAACAAGCATTAACCTTTCTGATAAGGATCTTCTAATCGGAGCATTAAACAATAAAGAAGTTTATTTTAGGGGATCTTTTATTACATAATTTGAGTTCCTTAGTAATTCAGAAGGATTTCTGAAGAGTGATAGGATTTAATTATTTGGAGGGTGCATGCAGACTCGGATGGAAATGTACCACTATGGGAGGCAATGCTGGGAGTTCATGAAGCAGTGACTAAACTACTGATAGAAAATGGTTCAAGCATACATCATGGAGATGTGGGCCATTTTGCGTGCACTGCTGCCGAGCAAAACAACTTGAACTTGCTCAAGGAAATTGTTCGATATGGAGGGGATGTGACAAGTCCGAGGAACAACGGGACCACTGCTCTACACGTAGCAGTTAGTGAAGACAACACCGAGATAGTCAGATTCCTCTTGGATCAAGGTGCTGATATTGACAGACCAGATGTCCATGGTTGGACTCCAAGGGATCTAGCTGATCAACAAGGACACGAAGAAATAAAATTCATTTTCCAAACTCGTGTAGAGGCCAAAAAGCAATCCTTTGTTGCTATTCCTGAGAAGCAGGAACATGGAATTCGATTCCTTGGGAGGTTTACCAGTGAGCCCACTATTCGGCCTGTGTCTCAAGAAGGTTCATTCCCAGCTACAGATGGATCATGGAGCCAGACCCGTCCGAGGCGCAGAACAAATAATTTTCACAATTCACTCTTCGGGATGATGTCAGCTGCCCAAAAGGGGGAGAAAGACATGCTGTTCTCAATCAGCCATCCTAATCATGGAGCTAGTCCCGCTAGAGTGACAATTAGTTGCCCAGAAAAGGGAGAAGTTGCAGGAAAGCTCGTTCTACTTCCTAGTAGCTTTCAGGCATTGCTTGAGATTGGTGCTAAAAAATTTGGGATCTCACATGCCAAAGTAATGAGCAAGGATAGAGCTGAAATTGATGACATTGAGGTGATTAGAGATGGTGATCATCTTATATTTGTTACTGAGGGAATGCAAGACACTAACAACCAAGACACATAATGTCTTTTTTGCACCCACAAGTGTCTTCCTCACAATTTTTTGCTTTTTTTTTTTTTTTTTTTTTGGGAAATTTTAGCACTCCATGCAATTGCATATCCAGTGTTAAATCTTGGGTGCAGTGGATCCAAAGATGGATGCTGCCCCACTTCTCTATTTTCGTTTGTTCGACTGGAAATTAGACGCAGGAAATGATAGAAAATAGACGAGAGAGTTGCCTAGTTAAAAGCCATTCCAATGGCTATCTATGTACAAAGGGGTGTATTTGAATGAAAAAGAGTTGCGTGTTACTGTATTTCAGGTAAGGAAGGGAATCAGCTTTTCATTATATTTCTCGTATCCTTGACCGTACATGGAGTGCTACTAACAATTCCTAATTGCCAAATTTGGCCAACTAATGGTCACTCTTAAATGGGTCAAATGGGCTAATACAAAATGGCATGTATCAATAGCCCAGCCCATCAGACACTATTGTTCTTGAGAATTCGAGTCCCGTACTCCTATTGGCTTCGGATAATTTGAATCTTTGGTAAGGAAAGAGGGTTATTCTTATATATCCTACAGTACAAAGTTTAATGATCCTTCTAATTATCAGGAAAAAAAAAAAAAAAAAGATTGACATAACATAAGTACCGTTTTGGAATGGACTTTTAACGTTTTATTATATATATATATATATATATATATATATATATATATATATATATATATATATATATATATATATATATTACGATTATTTTTTGTTAATTTGTATTATTTTTTTCTGACTCAGGCATTGAATTTGGGTTTGCTTTCACTGGATCGGCATCTACTACGATTGAAAATACTACTAACCGAATAGGGAATAATGGTTGTAGGGGTTTATTTTATTTTATTTTATTTTATTATTGTATCTCTTTATCATTTTTTTTTTAAGTTTGTTTTTTTCTTCTTGGAATAAAGTTAATTGCAATGTTAGCTCCATAGGATTACCACATGTCAACTTTGTTTGTTTGTTTTTTTTTTTTTTTTTCCTTAATCCCGTATTTCTACTATTTTTTAGTGGAAAAAAAAACTGAAAAAAAGGAAGATAAAAATATTAGTTTTTCCATTTAAATTTATCTTTATGATAATAAGTAAATTTTGAGTATAATTAATTTTTTAAAAATATCAATAGAATTTTAGTTTAATTTTTAAATTTTTGAACCATATTTATAATTTTATAATGCCTCAAAAGAGTCTATTATAATTTACTTATTTCCATTTTACAAATTTCTAAATTTGACTCAAAAGTGAGATTTGTTAAGATTTTTTTTTTTATTCACTCATAAGATTAATAAGGAAATTATGATCGAAGCTGTGATAAATTAATAAGGAAGCGTTAAGTCATGTTTTATGAATTCATGGCTTAGAACTTGCCTTCGTGCTTTTGACCATTAAAACCATGGAAACCTAACCTCAATTATGAAACAAGGTATTCGTAAAACTTCAATCTAAAATTTTCATAAAAAGATTTATTTATAGCAGTGACAATTGTTTTTTAAAATCAAATTACCTCATAAAGCATTTAGCTTTGTTGTATAAATTGTCTTCGCTTATCTTTCGGTACGGGACCATACACCATTAAAGAGGAATAGACAACAATGCTTTTACGGATGTCCATCAAAGCTTACTTGAGAGACAAGTAAAAAAAAAGGTTAAGTATATAAGCTAAAAAAGAAAAAACGAATAAGATAGATTGCTAGACACTTTAAAAAACATATTGATTCACTATTAGAAGGATATAATTGACTAGATCGTTGGATGGACTGATCAAAATCTCACCCCTGATTCAACTTTGTGTTGGTAGGTATTCAAAAAGTGGACTCCGTACCTTCTAACAGTTCATTAACATTTGTTGTCGTCTGTAGAAATCTACTAAATGAAAAAGTCACGATATGAAACATACGAACGAGCCAAACAACTATAACAAGAGTAGAACGTAATTAATTATGTTAATGAAGATGGAGTACATGAGGATCAGTTGGAGCATACGAAGGGAGACGAAGAGCAAGGAGAGATAGATGAAGAAGGTGGAGAAGAATAACCGAACCACCAAAACCAGCAAGGTCCCTAAAATCTGCAGCAATAGAATATCTTTACGAAAGACCAGGTTCAGCAGATGATTTTAACTAGCAACAATGTTCAATTGGTAGTCAATCAAATTAAAGAACCATGCTAAAGACGGAATGGGTTGTGTGGATGATAGAACAAAGGGTAAAAGAAAAGTAGAAGAATGTGGGGTTGACACTACAACTGCCCGATAAATTAGTACATAAACAAAAAATACAGAAGACCCTCTTTTGGTTGAATCTTCAACAAACAATATGGGAAAAAAATTACTACACATGGAATAGGGGAATAATGGTTGTAGGGGTTTATTTTATTCTTTTTCGTTTCTTTGTTTTTCGTTTTGATCGTATCTCTTTTCCATTTTTTTTTTTTTTAAAGTTTCTTACATTTGGTTTCAGGTTTAAATTCGTCTATTTGTTAATTTTTTAGACTAACGAAGTTAATTGCAAGATTAGCTCCATAGGATTATGACATTTCAACTTTTTTTTTCATCTTAATCACGTCTTTCTACTATTTTTTAATGAAAAAAAAACTGAAAAAAAAAAGTGAAGATAAAAATATTATTTTCTTCAAAATATTCTTTATAGTTTTAAATTTATATCTATGATAGTAAGTAAATTTTGAATATAAAATAAAATATTTATAGTGTTTTTTTTTTTAAATATCAAGAGTTTTAGATAAATTTTTAAATTTTTGAATGGTATTTATGATTGTACAATACCTCAAAAGAGTCTATTATAATTTACTTATTTTTATTTTATAAATTTCTAAATTTGACTCAAAAGTGAGATTTGTTAAGATTTTTTTGGGAATATTCACTCAAAAGTGGTTAAAAAACTATAAATACCATTAAAAATGTTTAAAATTTAACTAAGACCGTCTTGACAATTTTTTTTTAAATGCTATAAATATTTCATTTTATATTCAAATTTTGCTTACTATCATAGAATTAAATTTGAATCCATGAAGAATATTTTGAAGAAAAAAAGTATTTTTTTCACCAAAAAAAAAAAAAACAGAGAGAGAGAGAGAGAGACTAGAGAGACTCGATTAAGATGAGAAAAAAAATGGTGCGATTTGACACCATTAGCCTAAAAAGTTAACAAATGCACGAACTTAAGACATAAACCAAATATAAAATAATAAACTTAAGACAAAAAAATAAAATAAAACAATCAAGATGAAAAAAGAGTAGAGAAATCTCTCGCAATCATCAATGTTAAAAATTCACACACACACAAAGCCGAAAACACAATCAAATTCGGATAGGGTCGAACCCTAGGCAAATCAATTCAAAATAGCACTAAAATTTTACCGCATCCATTTTATGATTAAAAGATATGATTTATAAAATTATATACAATTCTAACAAACTTAATCCTTTATTTCAAAGTTGTTACACCTCTTTAAGTCGAAATAACAAAGAGTTGAATCTTGCTTCTTTTCAAACTAATTCAAGCAAAACTACTTATGATAAAATCAATTTAAATTGAGATTTAATTAAGGGATAGATGAATAAGAACCTATTTGTAAAAATAAACTCATACCTAGATACATACGCCAAAGATTTAGGACATAGATATACCTCCTCGAACATCTAGACATGATTGATTGTGTCACAAACTTGGGTAATCGATGTCAAACATAAAAATGTGTTTTATATTATGTAAGAACTTTGATTTCCTAAGGAAAAACCTCACTCTACAATTTTAATTTCAATCAACAAAACTATCTCATAAATATTAAAAAGCACACTTAAATATTATTCTCCTAAAAAACTAATTCACTTAGATTTATTAACTTAAGGGAAAATTGAAATAAACTCCTAACCTAATAGAATTTAATTAACTTAAAAACCCAATCCAAACGTAGCAAATACTCAAATAAAATACATAATCAACATCTAATAAGGACAAATTAAAATAAGAAATAAAAATAACACAAATAAGCTTGAATAATTTGGCTCCAATAGACTAGAAACACTTGGCCCAAGCATGCAACTTCAAGCTTAAACTTTTGGCTTTTCCCCGAGGACACTTTCATGTCATGCTCTTTAGATTGAAGAAAACACGACCTCGAGTTTAAGTCATTCTTTCTATGATCATATAGATGTCCAATTAAGAATCTAAATTGCATGCACCCTCGATTAATGAATTTGATTGTACAAGCTGAAACATTGATCATATATTTCATAACTTTAACTACTCATCGTGAGTTGTAAACATGAAGCAATCTTTTTGTTCTATCAATTGTGAAAATTACTTTGACATCTCCTCTTGAATCAAGACCATCCATTTGGTTTAGTTGTTCTAACGTGATCCTTTCTAGATTTTAAGTCCTCCAACCAGTATCGTATTACCAAAAGATAATATTCCTTTGAATAATACATTACCAATAACCCTATGAAGGAGTAGTTTCCATTTTTTTTTTTTATGTTCAATGTTGATCTAATACAATCCTCAAAACAAATGGCATACTAAACTATTGCACCTAAATGACAACTAGATTCTTTTGCCACCTTCTGGCAACGAGAGGTTGCAACCACCCTATGATGTTGAGTATATCTAACATCACCTTTAGTAGTATAACCTGCCTTGGTAAGATTTTATATTAGCTGAGTAATCTAGCCTAAATTTGTCTTTTTAATAACCACTTAATTTGAGATGGAAGAAATTGTCATCTTGGACCTCATCTCCTTCAAACTTAGTCTTTTTGGTCATCTATCCTTTGACTTCCCCTTTTAAACTCATCAATTTTTCATCACATGCATATGAGCTCACTTTATAAGTTCTCCATTTGAATCTCTAAAAGTAGTTGGTGCATATGATCAAGTTGCATCTATATCCCGATCAATGATAAATATACTCGGTGGTCTTCTAGAGGCATTGTCAAGCAATGTCAATAACACA